GCTGAGGCCGGTGGGGAGTGCGTGGGCCGCACGCTGCTTTTTTTGGCCGTCTTCCTGCGCTCCGGTTGGGGTCTGTGCCCCTGCCCTTGCTTTTTTGTGGGGTTTTTGTTTGTTTGTTTGGGTTTTTTAATTTCAGAGCACGGCGGGTAGGAGGGGTGGTCACTCCAGCCGATCCCATAGCCCTTCGGGAGTCTATGACTTTCCCTGTATTTACAGAACAAAACGTTTTCTTGTTAGTGGATATTCTGGGGGGAAAACACCTTGTCTGCCATCACAGCTCGTAAAGTGGATTCACTTAGGAGTTAGCCCGGACCTAGATCCACAAGTCCTTGTTTTTTAATGGTATGCGAAGTGTGTTCCACCCAGCAAAGAAACTCGTGCTTTGGATTTTGTTAGAGAAAAATTGGTGAAAACTGGTTTTGTAATTTTATGTAAGAGTTGAGAATTTAATATGTTCTTTGTAAGGTACTACGGCAGGTTAAGAGCTCAAAAACCATTTCATCTGTTCTTTAATGATGAACTGGTGCCGCTGCTTTCTTTGAAGGAGACTATCTGGTGACAATTGAAGAAAAAAGCAAAGCAACTTTCCTAAGAGCGTACGTGAACTGGAGATGCATGTCTGCAGGGAGCTCTCGTGTTTGTGTTCGGATGGTCGGTCACAAGATGGAAGAGTCATACAGTGAAACCTTAAAAGAACAGATGTCAATTGTGGAAATGCCACTTTCAGATCCTCCGCTGTGCATTTCGTGCTGTCCTGTAAATGGAGATCTTCTAGTGGGCTGCAAAAATAAACTAGTCTTGTTCTGTTTGAAATACCTGGTCATAAACCAGAATTTGACTGTGTTAGACTTTGAACGCTCCTTAATTTTACACATTGACAATCTCAGGTGAAGTTGCATTTTGTGCCAGACATATAGCCATAACAACAGAGCTGGATGTTCTGATCCTGAAACTGGAACTGGTCCAGCAAAGTGCAGACAGGACAGAGCAATGTGCACACAGGGTTAATACGCTAGAAAACCCTGTGGGTGGAGGTAAGTGCAGAAATTATTTTCTTTTTGTTTGCAAGATTCTGCTAACTGATTCCTGTTAGTCTCAGAGCAGGCTCAGACAACGTCATTGCCCTTCAGAAAATATTTCCAGATCATCTTAGGACTACCAGCTGAATATCCTAGTGCATGAAAAGTTGTACCACCCGCAGCTGGAGGTAACACTTAACACAAATATGCCATCATTCTGCAGACACTTTCAGGATAGTGCAACCTCTCCAGACACAGAATTAGGTCTCTGTTTTGGGGTGCCACTATGGGCCAAATCAAAGTGGTAGTAGTTCAGTGTTCTATGGTCAGAAAAATCACTCCATTGGCATCACTGCCCAAATAACTGTGTCTCTGCTAAGGGACAAGTGGGAGGCCAAATGGAAGAAGCATCTCATGAGCCTTGAAATGGACCATGCATACTGGCTTACACATTTAAGAATGCCTCTGTGACGATGCCTATGCAGTTTTGTAGCCGTTAGTAGGCTCAGAATCTGCATCAACCAGCAAATTCTCCTTTTTCAGCCCCTTGTCTTACTCAGGGGCTTGCCTTAGAATCCTAGAAATCCCAGAAATGGATCTGCTCAGTAGATTCATTCCCGTGTATTGCAAGAAATCGATCCATATGTAATCAATTCCCACCTTTCCAAAAGTACCAGATGAACAACAACAAACCTTGGGAAAATTGTAAGAAACTTAAAAGAGAAAAGGATGGTCTTTTAGAAATGAAACTGTACCTAGAAAATATTTAAAGGTAAATAACACTTGTTGGATAGGAAAAATAAAAAATTGAATGTCCTTCATTAAGTGAAGATGGATCTTAACTCAGATAATGGCATCCTGACCCTATTTGTTTTTATTACTATAAATGGAAAAGTCCAGATTACTTTCTGGGTGCTGTTAGGATTTGCTTTCCAGAACTTTAGTGAGTTCAACATAACACAACTTTGTATCATAGCTGCCTTTCCCTTAAAACCTCTCCAACCAAATGAAAACATTTTTTGGTGCCCAGGTGTTTGCAGCACAGGTTGCCTTGGACTTGCCTTGTAATGAACAGTTTACCTGTTCTTTCAGAAATCTTGACTCATAGTATTCAGACTGTTGAAGCTTAAATAAAGGATTGTTCTCATCTTCTAGCTTAGCTGTTTGCAAAATCTCATGGTTTGAGGAAGCCAATGCTAGCTAGGTAGCTCTAATTGGAGTATTTAATTGATATTGTGTCATGTCATATTTTCTTGCTGCTAAATGGAATGGTTTGAAAAATTAATACAGCATTTTCATTGTTAAGGTGTAAAAGATGAAGGCCCTTCAACACATGCTTTGCAGCTTGAATTGGATGAGTTCATCGTATGTCAGAAGCCAGTGGAACTGCTTGGGGAAGAAAGCAAGCTCTGTGAGATACCCATCACACTGGAGTCCACGGAGTTACCTACAGAAGACACAAAGTGCTTCCAAGTGCGGTATCTGCTTTTCAGGTATTACAAATATATTTTCTTCTTTATGTGTTAATTTCCTGTAAGAAACCAAAGTCAGCTCTGGCTCATGTCTTGTTGAAAGAAAAATCCCGGTAATCCTGGTATTTTGACTTCTGGGTTTTTTATAAGTTTGGGAGTGTTTTTTTGGTGTGGGTTTTTTTTTTTTGTTTGTTTGCACTGAGGAAATAATGTGGTATCAAAGAAATGCCATTTTTGAATAGAGTAGAATATTTCAGTTGGATGGGACCTGCAACGACCATCTGGTCCAATGTCCTCACCACTTCAGGGCTGACCAAAAGCTGAAGCATGACGTGAACCTGCTCATCTCACAGTTGGACAACTTTTGGCCTTGCAAATTCTAAGTTTCATTTTATCTGGGGAATGTGACTAGTTGTTAAACTAGACTAGAGCTTTAGTGGTTTTGTGGATCTAGTGATGTTTAATGTTTGCTTTCTGAGGAAGCGTTGATGTTACAGTCCAGCAGTGAATTCCAAAGCAAAGCAGGAAGAAGGATGACATATAATAGGAAAGAAAAGTAGGATGGGAGATGGCACCACGTTACATATAGCTCAGTTGAATAAAAAGAGAGGGGGGAAAAAAAGGTAAAGTTGAGGTTCAAATCAATTTCAACATGTCTTCCAGTGATCCCAAACTTTGATGTACATCTTACAGACAAACAAAGAAAGGATTTTTGGTAGCAAAAATCAAAATAGTTGATAAAAACTCAAGATAGTTGTCTCTAGCTGTGCCATGTGCTTCTTGGCATTGCCATGCTAATCGCATTAGTAGTAGGAGTGCACATTGCTGCTGAGTATTAAAACGTCAGCTATGCCTGTTATAGCTAGTGCTGTTTACTAGTCCAAAGTAGCGTGTCATAATTTCTCACTGAGGTCCCATGTTTGTTGTTTTGGATTTTTTTCTCTAGACGATTTACACCCGACCAGTCGCCTT